ATCCCCCAGCCCTGCAGCTCCAGGGCCCGCACAGTCGCTGCAGCCTCGCAGGCGCCCTGCAGCCCCCCAGCATCCAGGTCTCACAGTCCCGCTTCACTGCGGCAGCCCCCAAGCCCTCACAGTCGCTGCAGCCGCTAGAGCTCTCAGGATCCTGCAGCCCCCAGTGCCCCCGGTCGCTGCAGCCCACGACCCTCACAGTCTGACCCACGCATGGTAGAGGACAACGAGCGCGGTGCGACGACCAGCACTGGCGGCCTGTGTGGATACTTTTGTGGATCCCGATGTGGATACATTTGTGGATACTTCGTGACGACGCGGCGACGAGCGACGACGAGCCACAACGACGAGCGGCACGACACCAGCGGCGACGATGTGACGACGACTGCGCGACGACCAGCACTCGTGGTGAGGGCCCGGGGGGTGAGGACACCGGTGAGGACAGCGGTGAGGATAGAGACAGGTAAGGATGCACGACGACCAGCACCCGTTACGGCGGCTGGGGGAGGACACCGGTGAGGACAGCGGGGAGGGATGCGCGACGACCAGCACTCGTGCTGAGGGCGGAGCGAGGACAGCGGTGTGGATAGAGACAGGCAAGCATGCACGACGACCAGAACTCGTGCTGAGGGGGTGCCCTCACGAGGTGCTCTCACTACCCGCCGAGGTGCCGTCACTAGGTGCCCTGTTCACCGGCTTACCAGGCTCACCTACGAGACGACGCGACGAAACCGGCGGAGGTGAACCCGGTGAACCTGCGGGCTCCGTGTACTGGGCCTTGGCTCGACGCACTGTCAGCAATCCGTGCCCGCTTTCCGCAGATCGCCGACAACCTCCTGCATGCCCTCATGCCAGTGGCTCGTCGGCGCCGTCGCAGCGGCAGCGCAAGCCGCCGACCACCTCGCTGCTCAAGGCTGCCACGTCCCCGTGTGGGATAGCCCAGAGCCAGCGCAGGCATAGCCCGGGCGCCGCCCGCGCTTGTGACCAGTGCGCGCTCGAGATGCATTTCGCCACCTTACCTTCCACGTTCCTCTGCCGCCCGGCGTGCTTGCCGAGGTATGCTTGCGCTCGGTGACCACCGCGCTACCTGTGCGACCTCCGGGGCCCTTGCCTCCCGTGCCCTCCTGTTGAGCGGGCCGTCGCCAGGGTCCTGCCGCTCGGGTCGCCCGCAACGTGCGCCTTGCAGACATGAACCTGCTTGCCCCAGTGCCCGACGCGCGCCGGATAGAGATCGTGTGCAACGGCTTGCCCGTTTGGCACGGGGGCACATGTCGGCCAACGACACCATAGTCGCCGATGGTGCGGCACCTTAACTTAACCTCCCCGCGCCAGGGCCATGCGCCGACGGACGACCGGGCGGCACCAATACCATGGCAGGCGAGTTGGGAAGCCGCCGATCCGGGCCCGCCATGTGGCACTGACGTGGCGGCATGTCAAGAGCGAGCCTAAATGCAGCCGCTGCCCACTGCCCGCCCGGCCGCACGACCGACCAGCGGACTTGGATGCCCTGGCAGCCCGCCGAGCTCAGCGCCCGGCGAGCGCAATTCCTGGCTGTATGTTTTTCTTTCGGGCGCGGGGGCCGGTGCTTTCGGTCCATGCGCATTGCATGTTTTTCTAGCAAATCCGGTCCTTGACCCCGGTTTGAGGAGCTGGTGGCTACGCTTTTCACCAGGCGCCGCCAGCCATACCAGGCCAACTCGCTCGGTCGGAGGGCCAAGCCCACGATGCCGGCGGAGCATTTCTGCAGAGGATGAGACTTCCTCGAGTCCAGTGGAGAGGCCGCTGGCATAGTTTTAGAATGTTTTAGAATGCTGGAGACGTATATTCAAGAGCTGGGGGCAGCGGAAACCATGAGTGGGGCACGCCGAGCCGAGGCATGCTGAGCCCGCCCACCCGCCCGAAGAGGTCAGGTTGGGACTAGCAGACAGTGCCACCAGCAGCAAATGAGCTGTTGGCGGCCGTTTGCGGCCGAGGCCACTCTCTCGAGTTGTGGGGTCGAGACTTGGCAAGCGTGCTAAAGAGACTGTTGCAGCTGCACGTTGCTCCTCAAAACATGACCTTCCTAAAGGCCGCAAGAATGTATGCGCGCCTCGGCAGGCGTTCCCGAAACAGCCAGGGGCACGCTTGATGCAATTGATTTGGTAGCGGAGTTGCGGTGTCCCGTGCCCACGTTGCAAGATGTACCGCCCATTAGGCGACCCTTCTTGCTCCTTGTTCGTACAACTCAGCGAGAACGAGGTGACCGGGCTCGGCTGTTGATGAGGCGCCGGGCCGGTTCCCGTCGCCGCAAATGGGGTGCACAAATCCTGGATATGCCTGGATGCTGACAATGTCAGGGCGAGCGACTTTTCCAGAGCTCGCCAGCTCCTCAGCGCGGCGCGGCAGAGCTCGCGCCCGGCAACGAGGACACATGCGCGCCGTCCTCCAGCAGAGCATCGGTTGGCCCGGCACATTGACATCCAGCTCGGACCAGCTCAGCAGCAGCTGCGGCGGCTTTGCGAGAAGCACGACGGGGAGGAGCAGCGGGATTTGCGGGCATGCGTGCAGAGCACCTTTTAAGCTACTGCTCGCAGACGTGCCAGCATTGGAGCTCCTCGCTTTTGCTGCGACCAAGCTGGCTAATGCGGATGTGCCTGCAGACATCGCGTCGGGACCCCCACATGCAGCACTTCGCAAACCAGATGGCGGGGCGTGTTGCATCGCAACTGGCGACATTTTCCGCCGCCTTGTTTCGCGGGCTTTGGCCAAAACGTGGGATAACGTGGGCACACAGCGCATGTGCGCATGGTCCTCGAATGGCGGGACGACGCAGTCCTTTTGTGTCGCTCGATGGGCGCAGCAGCGCCTATGACACCATGTTTTGCGGATCCTTTCCCGCCGCTGCTGTCGGAGTCCAAGCCGCCGCACCGGAGTTGGTCCCTTTCGTCTAGCTTCTGTATGGGCAACCATCAACTTACTGCTGGTGGGACAGTGAGGCCAATTGCCGCAACGTTGCCCAAGGCGAAGGCTGTGAGCAAGGTGATCGGCTTGCCCCGGCCCTTTCTGCACGCGCTCCTCGACGACGTGTATGAACACGCTCGTTGAGGGGGGCGGACATGTGGCGCAGGGACAAACCACTGGAAGAGCGAGGGCTGATTGTGCTGGGCACCCCCATGGGCCACCCGCACTTCGTAGCAGCGTGGGTGGCACTGAGAAGGAACTGCTGCACCAGCTCGCAGCCAACCACGTGTTGCGCACCGTGTCGCTCGGAGCTTTGCCGCGGCGGCGTGGCCAGAGCAGACGTCACGCACTTGCAAAACGTGGCAACCTTACCGGCAATTCTCGGAAGCCTGGGCGTAATTAAGTTCTGCTGTTCGCACAGCGCCGGCCTCATACTGGGCTGCATGGGTTGACGCGTTATACCGGAGCTCCACAAGCGCTGCTCCGGAGCGCAGTTGAGGCACGCGTGCTGAGTGCCTTCTAAAGTGGGAACAAGCAGTCGGAGCCGGTGCCCGTCCACCGCGCTCGACCGACCAGAGGGCTTGGGTGACTGGCCACATGGATGGCAGTGCTGTGCATCGCGTATTCGAGCCCTTTACTTTCGCGAACGCACACTGCTGCCTTCCCTCTCCCTTTCCGCTTGCGCCCTTCTCCGGTCACAGGCCGGCGCCTGCATGGTTGACTGCAATACCCTTCTCCCGCCCCCAGCAATGCTTTTGGCCCTGCGCCACCGCCTGCGCCTCCCTCTGCCATTGTGTGCCAGCCGTTGCGGAGGAGAAATGGACGCTTTTGGCGACCCTGCCCTCGCGTGCACTCGCACGCGACAGTCTGATAGCTCGCAGGGCGAAGATCGTCGAGCGTGGGTGGGTGCGCGTGGCTCGGGAGGCCGTCCGTCCGGAAGGATGACCGGCACCGCCTGGACCTCGTCGTTTATGGAGCGACGCCTCTCGGGGCCCGATGCTGCGACGCCACACTTGCGTCGCCGCTGTCACGCGCAGGCCTGCCGCAGCCCTGCGCCGCTGCACACGACGGAGCCGCTTTGCGGCGCCGAGCGCCGAAGGCGAGCTATACCCGGAGCCAGCCGCCTGCCGTTGCGCGGCCTGTATAGGGAAGTGATGGGGTAGGAGGTTGCGCCGAAGCGTGCACTTGAAACTCATGCCAAGGAAAAAAGGCCCGAACAAAAAACAAAGAAGCTCCTGCACCGCTGCCGTTTGGAGCCGTTATACCCTTCGGCTGTGCTCCTCCGTGCTGCATGTCCCCTCGCTTGGAATGCCTGTGTGCACCGTGCATCCACTATACACATCATACACCCACAACCATGCATAAATGCCCTATGTGAACTTGGGTCAACTTCAGCTCGGAGGCAGTGTTGCAGCAGAGCCCCGTGAGGGCATACTATGGCCCCATGTGGCCGACTGAGGGTTGTGTGTCTGTGTGTGTGTGTGTCTAGGCTGTGTGACTCCTTTCCATGGTCAGCTGGCAGTTGCATTGTCTTGGGGTGGCAGATCATGTCTGCGGTCCATTGAAACGCGTGTCTCTGCATGCTTGGTGTGTAAGAAAGTGTTGAGCACACGGAACGCATCTCCAACCACTGTGTGCGATTTTTTTTTTCGGACCGGAATGGCGGCCAGGCACATGCGCTGCGCATGCTACAACACACATCGTCAACATTCGTCGCGTACATACGCCAAGCATCAGAAGCACTGGTTGGGAGGATCCGTTCTGTTGTAATGCAAATGAAAGAGCAGAACAAATTTCGGCGAGGCTAATACAAGCCGTTTCGCAATTGATGGATGACATTATTGACCAGCAGGGCTCAAGCTTCCCGTGTGGCAATGTTCTGTTTCTGGGCCATGGTTTGACGTGGCGAGCATCATTCCGTCGATCGTCCATTATTCAGGCAAGCGCTGGGTCATGCGGATCGTGTGCGGGCATTAATTAGAGCACACCTGGCGATTGAGAAGCTGTGCCGTGGTGATGTGCGTGTAGCTCAGCTTGTGCAAGAGGTCTTGCCCCGCAGCAGCATGTCGCGGGCAAGCTCCAAAGGGGTCAGCACGGTGCAGCGCATTCAGCAGCTGCTGCACCAGATGGCACAAGAGCATGCATCCTGGCTGCTCAAACTCGCAGTGGACATTCCATCACGATCCAGGCTCGCAAAATCTAGATTATTGTGATCAACTTGCGTCTCGATCGATCCAAGGAGGCAGAAGTCAGCCGATTGAAAGCCGACGTGCGACGGCTCTCGTCGGTTTCAGGCACATCCCATTGCCCTCCGGCAGCGCAGCCAGACGGGCAGCCCGAGGCCGGCATGAAGAGTGCTTCTTGTCCGCAACGTGAGGGAGCAAGGAATACGGTTCAAGAAAGCATAGGTCAGACGTGCTGAGTTACTTGTTCAGGATAACGAGGGGAACAATGTTCTGGAGCAGGATTCGCTTCGTGAGGCCATGCCTAGCATGATGTCCCTCTGGGCTTGTGATCTCTGGGTCAGGCCGCAGCTGACACCGCCGAGCTGCCTCCGCCACCAACGGGAACTCACTGCTTCAGTGACCTCGGCAAGCCGGACGTGTCTCCACGTTTTCCAGAGGCAACAGCCGACTGTATTTTTATCATGTGAGCAGAAGCTCCAGTAGTGTCATGACATTGCAATGCGCAGATTTTCTGTGCAGGCGACCCAGGAAGATCGCTGGCAGCCGTTCAGTCCAAGTTTATCCGTGGATCTGGATGTCCGCGACCTAAAGCTCGGTGCGAGATTGTGCAGCTGAAAGTCAACGAGCAACCCCAGGCTGATGAAATCGACGCGTTTGGAAACGAACTGGATTTTGACGGTCCGGCCGTTTCTCCAGCTGCTTATTTCAACCTGTGGTGAAGATGGTTCGTGCATGATCGGCCCAATGAGTTTGACGTGGCTGTGCGTTTGTCAGAGTCAACCCCGAGGTCCGCACTATAGTGTATTCGCTCCGCAACCTTCCTGGGTCGATGCTGGCAGGCATGTGATTTGGGTTGCCGTGAGCATGTCGTGTCCGCAATCCGACAGTGCGATAGCCGATAGATGTTCCTGCTTGCAGGTGTGGAGGCGAGCGATGCCAAATGCAAGCTGGTGGTCAAGTCTGAGTTTAACGAAGGCTGCACCGAATTTGTCCCATTGCAGCGGGAGGAGCCGTGCATGTTACATCATTCCAGACTTTTGTCGGCAGCCCTGTGAAGCAGATGTTACTGTACATTCCGTACATATTTCAGCAGGAGGCAAGCATGCCAGGGCAAGTTTGTACGTCCACTGCATGGTCAGCAGCATTTCAGCAGCATTTCGGAGCAGCATTTTGTGTGCGTGAGTCCGAGACATAGATGTTGAGGGAGAGCTGGATCACTGCAGGTCTGGGACGAGACCGGATCAGATGTGCCACTTGGCTGCAATCAGCTCAGCAGTTTAACTTGCCAAGCACTTGGTGAACAAGGCTCTTGCACGTGTCTGACCCACTGCCGGAGTATGTGAAGATTGCCATCCAGATCCAGGGACATGAGACCGCCATCGCAGAAGGTCTGGTGACTCTCAATGCTGCAAGGCAGAGTCTTGGTAAAATGCGAGATGTTTACGAGCTTTACGTGTTTTGCGTCAAGAGGCTTGCCAGAGTCGAGCTTCCATGATTGCCTTGCGTACCATTTTGTCGAAATCTGACATCGAGGAAATGGACACTTTTCGGGGGTGGTGAAGTGGATGCGGAAGCCGTGGTGGAAAAGGCAGTCGGCGCAGAACACATTGTAGCAGTTGCATGCTATCCTATGTTAGTCGACAGGAGTCACAGACTCATTGGACCACCATGCAGCCAATCACCGTACAAGTAGTTTAGGGCGGCAGACATTATCGAGGGGTCCATTGAGCATAGCTTGGGTTCAAACTTTCATTATTGAGGCCATGGGTTGAAGGGAAACCGCAGACTCACTATCAAAACTTCCGGTCCAGACGACGGAGATCGCAGCTCCGAAGGTGTTCTTGGCAAGGAGTGCTGACAACCGTTCAAGGACGGTCCGAGCATTTGAGACCATCGACGGCACTACCGCAGACCACAACACAGGCAATACTCCGATGTGGACGAAGAGATGCTCGGCAAGACAAAGGACACGATTGACAAGATACTGCGGTAGTATGTCCGTATGAATTTATTGGGGGAGGGCTCAAAGAAACGCACAAGAGGGGGGGGTTCTCCATCTTAAATGGAGGAGGCCGACCTGCCGGAAGAGGAACCTTGTGTCCAGCCATGAGTCACAGCTGCCGGGCAGGTTCCCTCCATTTCCCTCCCTCCGAACTTCTGGGCGTGGGCAGGAACTTCGGTGTGAACCGCGACACCTCAGAAACATGAGCTGAAACAGGAGAATCTGCCAATGGTTTCCAGGAGCCGGTTGCACTTCCATGGCAGACCGAAAGACGAGGACCATGTTGATGACACGGGAGAGCATCAAGATGCATTGTGCGGCCATGTCCAGCATGTGTGTGGGTCCTGCATGTTCAATTTGATGTCGTCGTAGCAGGGCATCTTGTTTTTTTTTGTGCGTGTGGTTGTGGGGGATGAAATTCCCTAAGCCTGACGGAGAGAGAGCGCGAAAGAGAGAAACAGAGTAACCACTTTAATGTAGCTTTGGCACGACCTGTTCGAAGACTCGAGGGGGGTTTTGGGGGAGGAGGCTGCGGACTTTGATCTCGCAGCCGAACCGCCTTCACTCCGACAACAGTAACCTAGATTCTGCCCTACCACACCTGTCCGAACGGAGACTTTACCATCGCTTGCTTTGGGGAGAGTCGCCACGTCGTGCTCGTGAGCTCGGGAAGGATGCTGAGGATGAGACCTTCCCTGGTTGGTGGTTCCGGAGCCTGAAAGATGGACGGTCGGACAGCGTACAGGGAACGGCGTGCTGAAACAGAATCCGCAAAGTTTGCCATCCATGCTGATGGCGTTGGTGGGGGACAGTACAGGCCCCTGGTGAACTGGATTTTGACCTCAGCGCCTTTCCCTAATTTCTCGTGCACTGCGGGGGACTCTACAGGGTTGCGCCTCCTGCCTTGACAAATCTCGAGTGACGTGCCGCTGGGGCCATCCCGAACCATAGGTCGGCTCAACGCGATCTTTCTTTTAGGTTGCCCTCTTGGTGCGTTGAATTCTGAGAACTACGATCCAAAGGGGCGAAGTCCCCTCGTCTTCCTTCCACGAAGCTCGGGGCGTGCTTCCTGACAGCAGGAAAGGGCAGCCACTCTTGCCGTGTCGTTTGTCCCACAATACTTGGGGGGAGCAGTCGCGCCGGGTCATGGGTCTCTCCCCAGGCGCGAAAGAAAGGCAGCGAGAGAGACAGAGAGAGTCTGCAAATCCTGATCCTTTTCAACGGGTGTTGAGCACACATTTCATCCGCATCGCGGGAGAGATGCGGGTGTATTGATTGGTGATGTTGCATTGAGTTGCAATTTGCGCGATGTGCTGTGGGAGGTATCCAATGCATGAACGTGTCCTGCAGGGGAGCGTTTACCAGCCCTTTCCTGGTGGCTTTTTTACCTGAAGCGCTGTGTTTTGTGGGTATGTGGTCTTTGGATGCGCCGAACAACACAGGTCTTAGTGTTCGCGCCCTTGCAAGCCTGCACCCTGCAGTGAACGATCAGGGTGTGTGTGTGTGTGTCAGTGCCTAAGTGTGCAGTGCGTGTTGGTGCTTTGATTTGTGCCTGAGCAACTGTCCACCTAAGTTGCAGCATGTGTCAGTGACAAGGAGCGGCCCACCGAGCGATTTACAGCGTAAGTTCCTCTAACTTCCATGTAAATGCCATCTTTAATCTTTCGGGTGGGTGGGGAGAGTGGGGCGAGCGCCAGAGAGAGAGAGCCAGATAGACGGAGACATAGAGCCAGTCTCCGCGCTCCGTGCCGAAGGTAGTGTGAGCAGCTCATGTGACTTGCCCCTGCATGCTGTGCCTTTGTGCAGGCGCTGACACCTGCTGGGAACCTTGCATGATTTAATCATGCTGCCTCTGTGCGGAGTAGTCAAGCGGTTCCAGCGACCTCCAGTGCTGCCATAGTTAAATTGGGACACGGCTTTGTGATCAGGGCTAGGGCCGCTAAGGCTGGACCGTGAAGAGTCGAGAGAGCCCATCAAGTTTGATAGAGCCAGTTAAAGAGAAACAGATCGAAGAAGTCGGCGCTGGAAGTAAGGAGAAGGCGCGAAAGCACTGTCAAGGACCGGATAGTCGAGAAGTTTGGAGCTTAGCTATTGACTGTGCCTTTCTGCGCAATCAGTCAGTCCTTGCAATAAGAGTCGAACGCCGCCTTCTGTTCCACGGACGGGGTGCTGTGACCAGCCCTGTTACAGGTTTTGGCTTCTCGAACTTTGTCAAGGAGTCATGACAGGAGGAAAGGTAAAGCTCAGGAACAAGGAGCATAAGGAGCGGCAGCAGGCTGCCATTGGCTCTCTATTCCCTGTGGGTCGGTCGTCGAACCAACAGGTCACCGCCTGTACCTTTCTGACATGCCCAACATGCATGTGTGTGTGTGTGAAATTGTCTGAAGCATACAAATCATTTGGCATTGGACGGAGCCTATGTGAACTCGCGACGATAGCAAGATTGAAGCAGATTGAAACGCCCTCCAGGCCGTGTTGCTTTATTGGTTCATTTTTGTGTACTCCAAGCTTCTCGAGCGATGAGCAAATCGTCCAAAGCCAGAGAGTGTTGAAGTGTATTTCAATTTTGACTTCGGGCAATCAGAGGTTGGAGAATCTCTTCGATGTCAGGGATCCATTGTCCAAAGTTGTCATGCCCAGCGAGCCTTGGTCGCACTCGGCAGCAGAACGTGGAAGCTCATGGTGAATGTAGTCCCATTGAAGTTGTGCAGACATCTAAGCAGAGGTCTCCCAGGCTGTTTACATGGGCACGCACTGTAGGCAGCGCAGCCCAGGATGTTTCGGCGGCTGTGAAGGCAGCCCGAAACAAGAGAACGAGCCAATTGATGTCTTCACTGAGCCCGGATGCCTGCATGCGATTTGGTGATCAGGTTCAGGGGTAAGGGTTGGCACGGACTTGCTACATTTATGAAAATCTCTGAGCCCATTGCCAATCCTTGGGTCTAGGGAAAGGAGATACAGTAGAGCTGAGAAAGGAATTGTCAAAACAAGAATATTACACAGTATGAAAATAAGTATGAGAAACATATGGTATGTAAAATATGAGCAACATATGGAAAAGATGCCATCAGGTATGCAAAAATGACTAGTGACAGGGGTTTATGGGTCTGCCAGGGAAATATGAAAACAGTATGAACAAACGATGAATACTACATGAGTGTAAGGTGGCTAAAATGACTAAAGCGTCAAAAATATTCGCAGACCATGCTTTTCGACGTCTCTCATGGTTTCAATATTGCTGCTTTATTTGTTCCTTGTGTTTTCCTTCTTTCCTGAGCCATTCCCCGCCCCTCCCCTCCTTCCAGTCCCCAGGCCCTCCCAGCCCCTCGGGAAAATAAGGCGTAAGATAACAACAATGAAGATAAAGAGCACACGTATGAACAAAGCATGAAGACGGAGGGTAATGAGGTCTTTCTTATGTTTCATTTAGTTTTACGATGTTTAAAAGTTTGCCCTCAAGACCGAGCCATTCCCGGAGCCCCCCACCTCACTGGCCCCCTTCCCGTCCCCAGCCCCCCTCAGCCCATTCGGGAAAATAAGGGAAAGAAAAGGACTTGATCAAACGTCATGAAACATGCCAAAAAAGTGTGAAAGCCATTCGCAGACCATGCTTGTCACACCTGTCGCACATTTTTCATATTTTTCTTCCTAGATAAAATTTCTTTTGTATTAGATGTGTCTTTTCCTTATTTGTCTTTATGTCTTCAACAAGGGAAAATAAGAAAAGTAAGGACATCAAGGAAACATCAGAATTTGAAGAATCTGTATGAACCATAAGTACAGTTATGAAAAAGGTATGAAAAGCGTGGCCGGCGAATATTTGTTCACATTTTATACATTTGGTGTATTCATATGTCCTGCTAGCCGATTCATACCTATGTCATATGGTCTCATGAATACCTGACATTATTGAATTGTTGAATTCATCCCCAAAAGTTTCTTAAATCCGGAATCGAAGAGGACTTCAGTTGAGAAATCGCGTATCGGACCTGGCGCATCGACCCCCATTTTGGCATGAAGCATGTCAGGGACGCAGGGTTGAAGTTTCCGAAGTCTCAGCAACTCGATGCCGGAATTAGTTTTCCTCGCTGTGCTGAGGAAGACCTGGAGGAGGCGACACAGATCAGGTGATGTTAGCTTTGTGGGAGCAGTCCGACCAGGGTTCGGGAATCGAAGGACTGCACATTCTTCCGTACGAGAAGCCTTAATGCTGTTGCACTTCACAGGTGTTGGTGGAGCTCAAGCGCATCCACGCAAAGACAATTGACAAAGACAGGAAGGCAAAGCTTTCTTCGGCCCAGCCTGTTATTTCTTGGAGGCAGTTTCTGGAAGCTTTTCAGCAACTCAGCTCACGAGGGGCTTGGTCAGCGGACAGCAGTCCAGTTCTGCAAGGACTGCATCATGCTGGATGATTTGCCAAAGTATGCAGTTGGTCCCGTGGCCACGCGCCCAGATTTATGTGCGCTGCCTGCGGTGCGGCATGATGGGCACTGTAGCAAGGAGTCGTTCACCCAGCAGTGAGGCCTTAAACCTGTTCATTGTCCAGCAATCGCTGCTGGGGGACGATATGCCGTCGACCGGCGCTTCCGGTGCGTATCTCATGGCATACGAGAAATTGCGCAAGCCGGTGTCCCGCTCTGAGCAGTGGGTGGGCGTTGTGACGGCACTTTCCACAGTGGCGATTATCCTCAGCGACTTGACCTATCTGAGTGGGAGTTTGTGAGTTTGCGACTCCGCGACCTGCTGAAACATACATCGGGCCCGAGGCTTTTTGTTCTTGGGTCTCTCCCTGGATATCGACCCGAACTGGGCAGGATGGATTGTATTGGAAGGTATTTGCGCCATGGTTTTTGTGGCAGAAGTTGTGGTCAAGACTTACGCCCTTCGGACTGCAAGTCAGGGTGGCTATGCTTGACCACATAGAAGGCCCCCAATAAAGGCAAAGTCTTTTTAGGAAGGAGCTACTGTAGGCGATTGGTGCTGTCGGGAACAGGAACGACTCATCTTGGCATGTCCGAAGAATGCCAATGGTCAGCGGTAAGCCGGCTTGGCTTGGCAGAGACAGCTTAGGTGCTGTCTCCGACAGGCTATTTCTGTGGCAAGGACTGCGTTTGGAACTCCTTCGATGTCCTGCTTTCCATGGCCGCTTGGCCAGCGCTTGGCTGATGCCTTCTTGTGACTTCAATCCACGACCTTCTTGCGGGTCTTCTGGGTTCAGAGGTAGCAGTCGGAGAGACGATTCTGAACATCGTCTTCGCTACATCAGGCTCCGAGATGAGTCCTGGCCTTCTAAAAGCTGCGCTGTGGGCTCTGTGACTCTGTGGGTCTGGTATGGTCTGGTGGGTGGCGTGTGGGGCCTTTTCAATTCTTTGTGCAGCGAAGGAAAGCGGCTTTGCTCTTAAGGGGCTTGCGCTTGGCCCGCATCCTACAACCGTGCCTGCTCAGAATGCTGGAACAGCTCACCGATGCTCACCGTCTCTCACAGGCTCGCATGGCTCGTCTCGCAAAGCTTGTTCGGATGCCGCTTCTGGAGGAGCTGGCAAACATCGTGTCAGGCAGATCTAGTCTTTGCGTCTCCGTGTGTGAGATGCCCTGATAGTACTGTGAGCTGAGGGTTTTGGCTGGCTTGGTGCTCGTACTCTGATGCTCCCGTGTCCAGCTACACGACGCATGGAAGACTAGAGCCGCGTCGACCTACCCCAGCGTACCTGCGCAGTGCGAAATGTTCGTGGTACATGGCCCACCTAGCTTGGTTTCCTTACGGCAGATTTGTAAGTGTAATGCTTCCGGGCGAAGCCGAAACCCGCAAAAACGATGCGTTCAGGTCTAATGGCAGCCTGCTCAGAGCTGCATTGACAGGATATGCTGTAAAAATGTGCAGTCAGTGTAGTCTTCCCAACATCGACAGTCTTCCTTGACACTTCCTGACCATTTGCACAATGCCTCAGTATTTTTCTCACAATCTCGGGTCGATGTTCTCTTTTTCGTGCAGAGGCAGGAACACGATACTTGATTTTGCGTACGCGTATAGCGGCATTCAGGAAGCATTTCCGTGGCAGCGGCACATTTCCGCCAAGGCTATTGAGAATGCGTTTTGTGCTTCGCGTCTGGCAGCAGCTGTGTTCTATTCTCACGGTTACCTTTTCAATCTTCCGCATTTCCTTTGGAGTTCAGTTGAAACACACCATGGGTCCGGGTGGCGCATCTCAAGATCTCTGTCGAGAGGGTCCTTGTCCCACATAAGCCATCGCAATTGGTCCGGGGAGTTATGTTACGATGAGGTTTCGGTGTTTGCGACGCGAGAGAAATTGAACGATACCACTACCGTGTTCGCCACAATGGGCATCGTCATGCAATCCAGCTTCTAGCCTTTCCTGCTTCGTTATCCTTCTCAATCAGCGCTCTGCTGTTTCTCTGGCTGTCCGTCCCAACATACGCTTCTCTGTACTTCCCCACAGTTTGACGATCTGCCCCTGAGCCTGTGCGACTGGCTTGCCGCAGGCTTTGTTCTGAGCGCCGGGGCCCATGGTATGTCGATGCATTCGCGTACTCCAGTTGACAAGCAAGCCCCGGCCTCCACAACCCGCTGCATGTTCCAACAGGTCCGTGCCCTTTTTTGGGTCATCGTGACGCTGAATTTGGTGATTTATGCCAGGTCCTTGAGACTGCTTGAGCAGATTGGGGCAGCACCAGCCTAGCCTCTGCATCTGCACAGCAAGGTGCTGTCTTTGGGCCTGCGCACGACTATCCAAGCGGTTTCCTCGAATGCCCTGGGCAACTGCCCTTCCGGTGATGAAGTTGACTTGGGAGAACCAGTCGTCGGTACAGATGGATCACTATGCGCCTCGCCACTGCGTGATGCATATATCAGATAACTTAGCAGCCCTAGCAGTTCATTGGCTCGCGTTCTGCCACATGAAGAGACCAATTTGGAGCTGATCATGTCGGTGAGCTGTGATATTCTCGCCCGTATGTGCTTGGTTTCTGAGGTAAGCTTCACCATATGTACGGTGAAGAGTACTGTGCATCAGTCATCGGCTGCATGTTCTCGATCTTTCGATGCATCGTGGGCGAATGTACCACAAAAGGCTGCAGAGCGACTGCATGGTTCCTGTGTGCATGGTTTCAGACAGCCCGACGTTTCGATTCACTTGCTGGCCTGTAGGTGGACGATCGCTGACAATGATTTTCAGCGATGGCTTCGGGGTCCAGTTTGACATTTTCTATGCAGGGAGCATGGTTATTGCCACTCGGAGAAGGAATCAGCTTACCTTGTTGCCGGACTGCTTGTGCTCCACGCTACAGATGGAGAAGGCACATGCACTTGACTAAAACTCTGAGGTTCTTATGGGCCTGTTCAACATCATTACCGCGATTTTTGTCGAAGCGACGTTGAGCGGATCTCAGCAGACGTGGCCGTGGCTTGTGCCAGGGCCAGGATAACGATTGTAGTGGCTCTGCATGTCGTGGCGGCCGGCGCACTGCGACTAAGGAATGGCCTAAAAGAAAACGAGTCGCACCGCCGGTACGCAAAGGCTTATGAATCAAGCTACATGACGGAGCAACTGGCCAAACTTGTCATGGTCCTCTCCTCCCAAGTGCAGAAGATGCGAAACAGGACAGTTGGGTTTGCGTACGATGTTGGACATGTTTCTCCATTCGTGCAGGAACAGCTCATTGCCTGGCTTGCTCGGGGACGGAATGTTTCCAGGTTCGAGAATGGCTTTCAGCAGGAGGCTGTGGGCCAGGGATAATCATGCCGCGGAACCTGCTGATGTTGGTTCCTGCAAGGGAGAACACTGGTGTGGACTCCGACAGTCCAAACGCAAACCTTCATGCAGAGGAGACCTACCTAAGCAGCGTGCTAAGCATGCTGTTTGAGCTGGCATTCCCAGAAGCGTTCAGGATCGCCCAGGCTATGCCATGACACTTTTGCTTCTAAGATGTATCAGGTGAGGAAGAGTTCAATCAGCTGATCAGAATGCCGGAGGTGACCTGACTCACATGGGCTGCCAGTAGTGTCGGATGGAGGGACTCGGTCAGGATTCGAGATGGGATTTTGGCAACTGGGGTTTGCTGACACTGTGGAGGTACGGATGCTGTTGAACGAGCTGGATGTGATTCTTGGCCGCGTGGAGTGTGAGCCGATTTGCTAGAAGATGGAGGCGATTGTAGAGATCCGAAGCCCGAGGAGTGTGGAGCCTCGTCCGGGAGTCTTTGAGGCTTTCAACACTGCTGCCTGGCTGAATTGAGGTGCTGTATATAACCAAGACCACTGTCAGCACTTACACCCTGAGGAGGAAGATGGCACCGTCTCGATTTCGGAACTTGTGCCCGGACCCGACCGGGACAGGATGGGAAGATGTCTAGGGGACGTTGTTCCAGCTGCGAAGGTCTGGCCTTATGCGGCTTCGAGGCGATCTGCACAAGATTGACCTGGTGATTGCACAGATGGGCCTCGAGAACATGCAGCGGCTTGGACTAGCTTGGCACAAGATACTCATCAGTCTTTTTGAGTGGAGATCCTTGAAAGCGCGGGGCCTGGACAAGGAAGCAGATCATGGCGGCTTGGCCCATTCTAGCACATGCCTTCAGGCTTTATTACTTCGTCACTGCGCCGAAGCTGTCAGCTCTGTATCGCTTGCCAAGGAAGTGAAGACTACAAACTTCCAGATTGCAAAAAAGATAGGTGCCAAAGGCACAAGAAGTACGACTCTCAGCAGGCTTCACTCCGAAGCCTTGTCGTAGGAACCGCGGAACAGACAGCTTTTGATGCTCAAAGCATCACAGTTTCACTTCTCAAGTTCCTTGGGCCAAGCCAATGGGAAGGCAGAGCTTGATGGCACAAGATCTGTTGCGAACGCTCCTGCTTAACCGCTACTTCATTACACGTCCACGCGTCATGGTGTTGAGCTCTTTGCAGTTTGCAGTTGTTTGCAGTTGAGCGCCAAGCACTGCCATGCTTGGCCACGGCAGCACTTGGACTTGGACCTCTTGGGCTACCACGACCATAATGGTCCATTAGCAGCCGTGCAGCATTTTGAGACCCGTGGGCCCTCTCTGACCCAGCGATGTCAGCAGAGCGCCTTAACCCGTGGTTTCACGAGGCGCTTTGCCAAGCACCGTTGCAGTGACCCTCGTCCCCGCCCGATTCAACGAAGCATACCTCACGAAATAACACATCAGAAGAGCGGGTGGTTTTCGACAGCGACAGTGGCAGATCCATGTAGTGTAGTTGCTCAACGCAAGCTCACTCGACATCGTGGCACGCGGCTTGAAATCAGAATTCGTGGTCCCAGGCACGGAACAGTCTCCGTGGGTCTTGTGCCACAGTGTTCTCTTGTGAGGGTGTCGTTGCAAGTTTTGATGTGGCATCGCGTGTGTGCGTGTCTGCATGTGCTGGAACGGATGCTTGGAATGCGTTTCCGTAGATGTGTTTGCGCATGCAACACATACAACCGAGCTTGTGTCGCACTTCAAGGCCGGCCCGGGCCGGCCCGGCGAGTCACAGACACAGAGAAGTAGAGAGGTGACAGTGCTTGCGCACCTCAAGCAGCGACCCGAGTGTTCCCGAGGCTTTTCAGTCTGAAAACCCGACACACAGGATACCAACCACATCTGACATCGGAGGCCCAAACCAGTATCAATAGCTTGATTAGTACTGCAGCGATGCTACACGGAGGGTCTGGGCGCTTTGACCGCTTGCTGGCGCAAGTTTCCGAAGAGCATGCAGCTTGTCTTGGCATTCAGCTTTTCAAACTTTCTGTTCATGACGAGCCTCTGTGCATGGCTCAGCCCAAGGATCTGGAGCTCAAAATCTTACAGGAAACGAACAGGCAGCTCCAAGACGAAATCCGCTCGCTCAAGACCCTCTTGCAGCCACAGGAGACAGATCTTTGCATCCTCTTGCAGGGTTGCCTCAAGTCTCGGTCTATATTCTGTATCAGTCCATCATCACAGAGACAGAGGGCATTGCCCTGTCTTGGGCACGTATTCCCCATCTCATTCCGGCTTTTGACCCGGATTGCAAGCCAGAGCCTCGTGACTCGTGATCGAGCTGGGCCTGGGCAGGGCGATCCACCAAACCAACACAATGCTTACATGACAAGGATCAAGTCTCCCATTCGGTGACCAATGTTAAATCGGGGCTAAGGGCCTGCTATGGCGTGCCGACAGGACCAGGTCCTGTCGAGAGCAGTGGCTGCGGGCCGTGCGGGATGTTGCGGAGTGAGGCAACAGAGGATTGGCTGGGCGATTGCATCGAACCATCCAAACTTTCGTTTGGAATGGGGCCAGTCTTTCAAACGAACTCACGACACCCAAACTCAGAATACTGTTCCAGCAAAGCTTGGATTTCCCAAGCCCGAATCGCCCTTTGACTTTCCGGGGAGCAAGAGACAGGGTGGACGGATTCAGAACTACCTACAGAGGCAGGAATTGCAGCAGCGAGTCAGGGGTCGGCATGGGTTCCTTTTACTGTAGCAGAACTGAGCATTCCGTGCAGGAGCCCCTCAAGCCAGCTCTCCGCGAGGCCGGATTGTAATCTTGGTCCGGCCCGCGTAGTCCGTGTAGGCCACTGTAGGATCGCATAGCGTCGTGCAGCATGCTTTGTTGGTGATGCCATGTATGCGCGAGGGCCGCGAGGTTTGAAGGGAGAAAACGTGGCAGCAGGACCGTACGAGGACTGAGGTAAGAGGTTCTAGCCTGTCGCTAGACCAGCCTCTCAAAGCCTCTGGCAGTGGTTACATATCGCTACAGCGCATGTGCCAGGTGGGCTTGGCTGTCGACAGGCCGAAAATTGAACTAGAGATCGAGAAGCTGCGCGATGAGACGGCAGCGGCAGTCACTTGGCTGACGTTATGAGATAGGGGGCTTGGCACGCTTCGCGGTCGTACTTGACAAGAAAGGGCGCGTTTTTGCAACTCGCAAGGCGGATTCCTTCAACTTCAGCTCCCCGAGCCAGTCTCTACGCATAGGTGCGGCGGAAACCACAGCTGCAGCCAGGCGTGATAAGATTCGATTGACATGTCATTGTGTGTGTGTGTGAGTGAGGGTTCATAGTTTTTCGGCTTTCTGCTTGCATCTGAGGTAGAGCTCACGGTGTATTCAGTGCAGGGCTTACCTGACACTCTCATCCAGCAAGGACGGGCATTCCGATCATGCAGCCGCCCATGCATTGCTTTGCGTGGCTTCTGCCTCGCAGGAGGTGGCGGCCCGTCGGTTTCCAAGTGCAGAGTTTCCACGAACATCGGCTTGCAGATCAAAGCCACGGAGTGGACAGCTTTGAACAAGGATCCGCCTCGTAAGCGCTTGACGATGCTGATTGACATGCTTTGTATTGCGTCTTACTGACCGTGCACGGCGTGTTTGCGTCACTATATCCTCGTAGCATCATTTGCCAGTCTGCTGCATCTTGCATTGCTAATTCCACAGGAGCCAGGTAGACCCGGTGAGTGCAGCGACTTCAGTGATGACTTGAGCCTCTGGGGAGCAGCACCTTCGCTTAAGCACCCAGGGCTGCTCAGGGAAAGGCTCTCTGTTTTTCTTGTGTGATCTATCTGGGACAAGATGCAGGTATGGGGCCCACACGGCGCAAGCATGCCGCCGGTCTGCAGCATTGCTAGAAGCGATGGCGTCGACTTCGGTTGAAAGCCACATGTGTCCGCATTCGCCTGAAGGCACCATAAGGCACCTTGCTTCGTGCATAGAATGGTGGCTCCAGGTCTTGCTTTGCGCAAGTAGACGACCTCCCCGACAAGCTCGAATTGAATTTGGAGATCAACGGCTACGGACATTCTGTTGCCATTGCACTTGTAGAAGTCAACGCAGACAAGCAGCATCTTGAAGGCATTGGGTACCGTCCAACCGAGAAACTGCCCCGCTGCTCCAAACCTCAAAATCAGGCTATGGAAGCTCGATAATGGTGGCCACGTCGAGGCCAAGGTGCTGGTGACTCGCCCACGACGTCGCTCGATGAGTGGCTTCTCACAGGCGGGGGCCTTCTGACGTTTGAGCCGTGGGACGTGAGTGCTACCAGGCCTCAGGCGAGCCTCCTGCAAATACTAGCCGTGGAAGCAAGACGCGGCGATCGTCTTTGCAGAGCTGCGTGGCTGTTGCTACATGGCACAAATGTTTCCAAGCACTAAGCTTGCCAAATGCCGCGACGGAAAGACAGGAGGGAAGGACGGAAGGCAGGAAGGAAGCAAGGAAGACAGCGAGAGAGTCGGGGCAGCATCCTGGATCTCTAACCTGGTGGAAGAAGCTGAATATTAGCCTCGAGCCCTGCAGGAGAAGGAGAGCAAGAAATGAAAGGGAGTCCAAAGCGAAAGCAAGCAACAAGAAGAAAAGCGCGAGAGAGTATTGCGTGCATGTTTGAAGCGCTGCTTTGGAGGAACATCGGGGAGTCAGGTACCTCGACCTGTCTTGTGGTCCGAGGGCTTCGTCGTAGGGTCGTGGGCCGCTCAAAAAGCCCAAGGCATGGAGCCCCGGTGGCTCACATGGCAAGTCTTTGCCCCCACCGAACAAACATGTTTGCTCAGAGCGGATAGCTTCGGATCCCTGCGTTCGCATGCCGGGGAAGAGAGTGTCGGAAAGAGCATCAGCTCACAAAAACGGAGAGTCACCCATTGCTTGTTTGTGAGACTGTTACCAGTCGCTTTTTTTTCAGAGGAGTTGCATGATGCCATGTGGATGCACAGACACGTGAGTGGGCACCGCTAAACCATCTAAATCTGCCAGGAAGTTTGCAGCTTTCGTCCATCATGGCCTTCTTGCAAAACCACTGAGTTGCATAGACGTCCCTGTAGTCACTACCTTGACAAAGTTTCGACATTGATCAGCGCACCTTAGGACCTGCCACCGATGCTCACGATTCTTAGATGCAGTAACATTCGGCGGCAGTGGGGCTTGCACCTCAAGCGTCCGCTCTCTTCCCTTGGGCGAGCGACATTGGCTCGCGGTGCTTTTAGAAAAAAGCTTGAATGCGCGAAAAGTGCCGAGGAGTCGCACTGAGAACGGGTCTTCGCTCCTGACGAGGTCGGCGGAAGTAGCACAACACCCAAGAAGCTGCCTTCTACGCGTAAGGATCTTGCGCTTGAGGTCTTCTTATCAGTTTTATCCTGGTTTGTGGTCCTATTCACATTCCCAAGAGCCAAAGCTTCTGTGGAATGGGGGTCGACGAATCAATGCTTCGCCCCTGTGCAGTGCAGGCTCGAGAAGCAGTTCGACATTGAGGATGCAGGAGCTAAAGTTATCATGCCTAACGCCGCTCGCTGCAGAGTGGTGGGTCTTGCTTCTCGGTGGTTCCAAGAAGCTCCCCTTGCTATCCACGGCCGCCGCTGGTGCTTCCACATATCCGCATCACTCACGTTCCGTAGCCTACGACTTAATCCTCCCGCATCAGACGCATCATCATTGCCTGAGGATCTGCATGCGGCCATGAAAACGTCGCGGAAGACTCAGACAACCATGCCTCAACTCCCTACCCTTCTCAACACCGCCGCTTGTCTTGTTGTAGTTTGCACTACCGCATTTGCAAACGGTCTTGGCTTGAACGCAAACATACGCAAACTGTGTCCCAATGAATCCTTCTGGGCTGCTGAGGAAGAGCTGGAGGAGGCATGGGCCCGGCAAGATCCACCGGACATCGTGTTTGAGTGCTTTCCCGGGTCCGCAGGTGATCATGGAGCTCCGGCGCATCCACCAAACGATCTTCGAGAAGGGCCCGAGAACCTCATTGCAGGGAAAGG